ATTTATGGGTTAGATAAAAGTTTGCTTAGCAGACATGAAAAATATTTGCTTATTGACCTTAGTAAATTTTGAATTTTTTATCTGACCTATATATATATTGTTCGGGGTCCTGGTCAAATATCAGAAATCTGATATGGCATGATAGGTATATTGGTATCCGATATTATTTATAAAATTATATCAGAAAATTTTAATATACCTATCAGTAATCCGATAGGTTATTGATATTTCTAAAAAACAATTGATTCATATCAGGAAAAGATTGACTCAAATTGAATGATTATCTGATTATTTTTTTCCAGAAACGAATTACAAAAAAAATAAACTCTTTCATGTAACATTTTATTTTTTTTTTCCAACAAAAAGTATCATTTATATTTTAAGAAACAATGACTGAACGGTCAGTCTTTCAGTAGACTTATAGGAATGCAAGAAGTGCAGAAGGTTAATATATTTTTTGTTTTTTTTTTCTTTTTCTTTTTTCTTTATTTTTTTCACCTTATTCTTATTTCTTTAGGGATGAGTCTTTTCTCTTGGAATGGCGATTTTGGTAACTACTGAGAATGCAAAAGATGCAGAAGGTTAATATATTTCTTTTTTTTTCATTTTTTTTTTTTAATTTTATTGTTTTTTTCTTTACTTATTTAATTCTTATTTCTTTAGGAATGGGTCTCTTCTCTTGGAATGGCAATTTGGTGATTTCTAAAAATGTAAAAGACGCGAAAAGTTAGTACTTAGTATATTTTTTTCATTTTCATTTTAATTTTATTGTTTTTTTCTTTACTTACCTAATTCTTATTTCTTTAGGAACAGGTCTCTTCTCTTGGAACGGCAATTTTGGTAATTTCTAAGAATGTGAAAGATGCGGAAAGTTAGTATATTTTTTTCATTTTCTTTTTTTAATTTTATTGTTTTTTCTTTACTTACCTAATTCTTATTTCTTTAGGAACGGGTCTCTTCTTTCGGGATAGTGATTGGGAATAGAGGTAAATGTGAAGTGGCTGTGTGTAGGTCAGTGTATTTATTGTAATTAAGAGACGTTCTCTTCTTTTTGTAGAACATTATTAATCAAGCAATTTAGACTCAGATTGATTCGACTCATCAACTCGTTTTGGAGCACTACTGCTTCAGTTCTGATTTTTGGGTTTGGATATATAGGTGAGTTTTGAAGAGAACTTTAAAAAATTTTTTTTAAAAAAATTTATTTAACTTTTTTTTCTTTTATTTTGTAGGTTTCAGCTTCAGTTTTTGGGTGTTGGATAGGTGAGCGAAGCTTTGAAATTTTAAAAACCTTATTTTTTTTTAAAGTTTATTTAATTTTTTTTCTTTCACTGGTCGAAATCAAAACTTTCGACCGTTAAGAGCTTTCGGCATAATTTTTGTTGATTGGTCATGTGATTCGTCACATTTTTTGACCAAAGGCAAAAATCGGTAAAATCAATCACAAATAGACTGATACTGATTGTTAAAAAAAAACTCGTTCAGTCTTTTGGTGAAAAATCGACTTATACCAATTGTTATACAAAAACTTGTTCCTTTAAGGTCATTCAGTAAATTTTGCCGATTGGTCACATAAATTGACACAATTTTGCCAAATAGTAAAAAACATTATTTTTTAATTCGAATTTTATACTTTATTTACATTGTTTATATTCAGTGCATAATCATTAACGAAAATTTTTATTGTAACATGAATTTCGACTTGTTTTTCGTCAAGTAATTATAATAAAAATACTACAAAAGAATCTTTTCGTAAAATGAAATTTTATCTAATAAACATGTCTCTCGTCAAGTAATTATAAAAATTAAAAAAATAAAAAAAATAATTCAGCCGATTTTTACCAAAACACTTAATTATTAACGAATTTGGAGTTTGCAATTAATTGGATTAATCGCCAAATATTCAATAGCATTACTCTGAGTAGAAATTTGATATTTTGATAGTATAAATCGACAAAGGATACTATGTACAGGAATAAGGTTGCTGGAGAAACTAGAGGGTTTTGGCAAGTTGGCGAAATGCTGAAATAGCGAAACTTTACTGAAACTATATGAAAGTCATATTAAAAAGTTAGCGAAACTCTAGAGAAAAGCGAAACCTAACAAACTTATTATAAATGCCAAAACTGCTGAAACCTTACCGAAACCATAATAAAACTATAGTAAAATCTTGGAGAAACTAATCGTAGAATTTTGGAGAGGTTTAGGCAGGCAACCTTATACAGGAATAATACAATCACGGCTTTCATCATAAAATTCAGATTTCCACAACTCGACGTTACAGCTCTCATCTTCATCATCAATATGAAAATAATATTCGTACTAGCTGGTCGATACCAACAAATATATGCCAAATTATGTTCCATTTGTCCATTTGGCAAGTCGACTGTATGTTTGAAGAAGTATTGAATTTGTCCAGGATAACTGTCGACTTCTCCATCACTAGTTATAAATTTGGCTAGAACACACGAGCTTTTTGTATGTCGAACTGACATTGCGGAGCCAAATACTTTGGAACTAATTTGGCATCTTCCAAATTGATTTATCTTTACTCGAATTGTTATAGAATCTTGGATAATTTCATCTGCTGGTTTGCGAAACTTGTACATTTCGATATAAGAAGCATTATAAAAAGCAACCATCAGTTCGAGCATTGATTCAGTCATTATTGCT